CAATAACAACGTGCCACGTTGCAGACTCCATGCGATATAATATTGCCTGAGGTAGATCACAGGGAGAAAGGAGGGAGAAAGGAGACAGACAGACAGACACAGACACACACACACACGAGGTTGGGGGGAGCTGAAAAAAGAAAAATCATGAATATGAGGATGAGGTTTGAGTTACATAAATAAGAGAGAAAATACAACATTTAAATATTTTCTAGGAAAAAAACAGTCGGGTGAGGCTGCAGGGAGGGAGCAGAGACGGCCAGACACCGAAACAGAGAGCAAAGAGGACTGAGCCTGCCCTAAGGGGGTGATTTCCAGAGAGGTGACCTAAAACCCCTGTCTGATGATATAACAGTGGGCACTCCAAATCGAGGTATTATTTCATTTAACAGTACCTTTATCACTTCCCTGGCTTTATTTGTTCTACAGGTAAAGCCTCTGGCCAACCAGAAAATGTATCTGTAAGTACCAATAGGTATCCATACCTCCCTTTTCTTGGGAGTTCAGAAAAGTCTATTTGCCAATGACCTCCAGGTGTATTTTCTTTCCCAATGGTTCCTAACTGTATCTGATTTCCTGTGTTAGGATTGTTATCTAGAGTATTCAACATTCTCTTGGCTATCTCTCTGCATTCTTTCTGCTGCTTGTCTAGCCCCATAGTCAGCCATCCGATTACCTCTTTCTGGATCAGTGTTACCTTTCAGGTGTCCCCAACAGTGCATAATAGCAAACTCAGCTGGCAATTGTACTGTCTCCAATAGGCGAACTATCTCTTCCGCATGTTTAATCTGCTTTCCTTGTGTGGTTAACAATCCTTGTTCTTTCCAAACTGCTCCATGAGCATGGACAACCCCAAAGGCATATTTAGAGTCTATCCATATATTTATTTTCTTCCCTTTTGCCAATTCCAATGCCAATTCCAGTCAAGGCAAAAATCTCGGCCTTTTGAGCTGATGTCCCTGCAGATAAAGATTGAGACTCAATTACCTTATTGGTGGTGGTTACTGCGTATCCTGCTTTTCGGATGCCTTGTTGGACGAAGCTTCCTCCAACTGTATACCAGAAATCCTGAGCGTCTTCCAGAGGTTCTTCTTTCAGATCGGGTCTGCTGGAATACACAGTCCCTATGGTTTCTAAGCAGTCATGTGTTAGTGGCTCGGTCATTGCTCTGCTGTCATTCCCAAAAAGGTTCAGAGTTCCTTTACCATCTGAGGGAGCGGGGTTTTACAGATGGCTTCCTTTCGTTGTGTTCCCAGTTCCCGTTGTCCTCCGGATATCTCGTATCCTAGTTATGTCACCTGTCATTGTATCATCTGGGCCTTCTGTTGAGAAACTCGATATCCATTTAGTCCAAGAAAATTTAACAAACTTACAGTCCACTGGATACATTCAGATTCTGATTCTGGTGCTATTAATAGATCATCCACATATTGTAACAGAGTCCCTTGTCCAGAGAGAGGTTCCCACATTTCAAGATCTCATGCCAACTGCTTTCCAAAGAGGGTCGGGCTGTTTCTGAAACCTTGGGGTAACGCTGTCCAAGTGAGTTGGGCTTTCCTACCTGTGGTAGGATTCTCCCATTCAAATGCAAACAGTTTCTGACTTTCTTTGGCTAGAGGCAAGCAGAAGGCGGCAATAAGCATTGTCTGGCTTCTTAACTGGTAAAATGGGAGTATTATATTCTGATTCGCATTCCACCTAATAGGCCATACTTTATGAAATTATTAATTGGTTTTTCTATTTTCCTATGATCTTCCATTTGTAAAGGATACCGTTTTTGATGTACCTGGCCAACTCCTTCTTTTAGTTCTATCACTATAGGTGTTGCATTTTTAGCTCTACCTGGAACTCCTGTCACCCAAGCCCCTGGGTATACCTGGTCCATAATCTCCTCTACCTTTGATGATAATTTAAAGGTTTTTGAAGACTCATAAGGGCTAAACTCAAGATTTCAACTGACTATTGATCTTTCACTTTCAATTCCAAATGTCTGTTTTTAAATACTATAGCTGCTCCTATTTGTTCCAACAGGTCTTGTCCTAGTAGAGACTTAGGAGAGTTTGGCAAATACAAGAACCAATGTATCCCAATTTGTTTTCCCAATTTATATTTAAGAAGTTCTGAGAAAAAGGCTCTTTTCTGTTGGCCAGTGGCTCCCACCACTGTAATAAAATCCTGACTAATAGGAGTCAATTCCTGATTTAAAGCTGAAAAGGAGGCTCCAGTATCAACTAAAAATTCTAACTCCTTCTCATGCTTCCCTAGCAAAATCTGTATTATCTTCCTCTTCAATCAGTTTCTTATATTACTTACACCTTTTACCAACAATACGTGCAGAACAAAAACATTTAGGCAGTTTAGGGTTAATTCCACATTCTTTTCAATTAGCTTAACTACTCTCTCAATAACATCAAAGGAGGAGGAGGAACATCCCTCAACCATACACACACACTCTGCTGCTTGCTGAAGCAAGAAGCACAACAAACGATACAGGAGGGGTGCAGAGACCAGCTCTGCAGGCGCCTTGGTTAAATTGCTCACAATTGCTGCAGCTAAAAATATTTTCTCTTGGATTTCGTACTCATTTTTGACCATCCTCTTTATGGTGGTCATATGCCCAATTATGCCATATATATCAATAACTGACATTTTTCTGTGTAGTTAGTTTTCTATAAAGTCATTAAAGCATCAGCATATGGAACTTCATCCCATTTCCCAAGTTGACAACAGAACAACATTAATTATAGCAAGGTATTATAGTTTAAAGTGCCCTTAGTTGGACATTTCTCCCCTGTCATCCAGCTTATACACAGTATTTTATCAAAGTTTGTTATCCACGCTCCCTCCTGGTGGGCTGCCTATCTCTTTCCAATGTGCCAGCACGCATCCTAAGGGGGGGTCTTTTGTTTACTGTGTTTGCTTCCCATATTGTTAATCAGTTCTCCTGCTCTAGTTCACAGGAGACTATGTTCACTTAAAACTTCACAAATCACTTCATGTACCCAAAGTCTTTCCCCAGTATGATCCCACTGCGTCCACAGGCAACACCTGGGACATTCAAAATCAAAATGTTCCCAATTAAGCTCCAGGTCCCAAGTAACCCAGAAAAATTTTCAGCAATTTACACATTGGCCATTAATTACTGGGTTACACTCATTTCCTGGGTGGGAGAAACAATAACCAGTGTAATAGCCACTGACTAAATTCACACGCTGTTTCTTCAGCCTCCCCACAGCTGTTTTCCTCAAGGCTCACTTTTAAACCCAAGACGTATCTTATTTGCTCCCCCACAGTTACAGAATCCCTATTTGAAATGTATAGCGACCAACCCAAAATTCTTGAGCATGATTACAATAGACAGACCTGGGTTTCAAAACAAAAATATATTTCTTGCTTTGTTCATCTCCGGCCGTGCACCTCACGGAGCTACGGAACCGCGAATCATAGCTCCACACTCGCTTTGCAAGTTAAACTGCATCTCATTCACTCACACAATCAACAAACGACAAGATCTTGTATAATTCCCATGGCTATTCAAAAGTTTCCGAAGGGTACTCCAAAACAGTTACAGAAGGGTACCCCAAAATACCAATCCCAAAGGGTACCCCAAAATACAGATACAGACAGATACACATATGCCACCCTGGTACTAATACCCTGGCATATGCCTCCAACATAGGGTGTCCCCTTAAGATTTATAGGATGTTTCCAAAAACCACAGTCCCAGATTCCAGATTTAAAGAATACCTGATCACCATGTTATTAAAGCCAAGTCCTTGTCTGCTCCCACAGTGAACCGAATGAGATGAGGAGTCCCTCCGGGAAATTCCCCGGGCCACGGCCAGAGAGTCTTGTGCTCAGCGAACCCTGCAGCCGAGCAGAGAAGGTCTCATCTGGGTTGACAGCTGATTTTCAGAGACGTGACCTAAAACAAAACTTAAGGACTCATAAGAGGTTTAAGTCTGTGTTCTTTAATACAGTGCCAGGGTCCTCTCAGAATCACCTGAGATTCCCACTAGTTGTTACACACAGGTTCTTTTTATTCCCTATACTAATACATATGCAACCTAACTACCACGAATAAACACGTCTCTTCATAGAACTAATTATCATAAGTCCAGCCTATTTTGGTTCCTTTCTTCACTGGTCCACAGGTGTCCTGTTGGTGACCCTTCTCTTGGAGCATGCGTAGAAGTAGCGCTGATTTCATAACCACCTGCAGACTTGGCTTGGTATATATCATTATTCTTGTTCCTATACGTCCTGTACCTTAAACAAAGCTGTTCTCCAAATTGTCCTAAGCTACTCGATTATCCTATTTAATGATTTACCCTACCTGTCAAGTATAGATAGTTTATGACCTTGTTTTTTAAGTCCCCTAAGGCATTTTCCATTAGCTTTGGAGGGTTTTCTGTACTTTTCCATTATCGGGGGGGCGGACTTTACCTTTCACCCCAGCTCAGCCGCACAAATAAATCGGTTTTGTGGACCACAGCGTATTTACGGGAGTCCAGCACCCACTACAAACAGGACAATTCCCACTCCTTGCTTTACAATCCCGACTCCTGCTGTAGTGGCAGTTACGCCTGGAGACTCCGCCCCTCTAGATTCCTCCGCCGCGGACAGAGCCCTCTTCTGGCTCAGGCGGCGGCAGCGCGACGTGTCTTTTTTTCGTCCGCCATCTCCTCTGTTTCGTGTGTTGTGCTAGGTCTTGATCCTGCGGCTCTCGTCTTTCTTTCTTGCTTCGGTATCGTTGCTTTCGTCCTAAGAAGGTACAAGGGAGACGGTGGGGGGCGTCTGGGGGAGCGGAATTTGTTACGCGGCCAAGGGCTGCGGGTTGGTGGGCGACGGTGGTTGGGGCAAGGCAAGGTGATTATGGGCTGGGCTTGAGGGGAGCCGAGCCGAGCTTCGGTGGCGCTGTGTGCGAGCAGACTTCCCTTCCCCTCCCGGCAGGGCTGGGGCGTCCTCCCACCGGGGGTGTGAGTGGTGAGGATTAGCTGCGGAGCCCCCTGTGCCTACCTACCCTACTGCTGGGCCTGGGTTGTTGTGACCTACACTGCTGGGTGCTTCCTGACCTGCTTTCCGTGGGCGCTCTTGTTGCTTCCGCAGATGAAAGAAACAATCATGAACCAAGAAAAGCTTGCCAAACTCCAGGCCCAAGTGCGCATCGGTGGCAAGGTAAGAGTCGTCTCCCCTCCCTGCCCTCAGAATTGTGTGTCTCTGCCTGCACACTGGGCCTAGGATGTAGGATCCTGAAAATTCGTGGGGAGAGCAGCCCTAAGGACTCTCAGCTTGGCTGGACTGTCCCCGGGGGAAGCTGCACTGCTGCAGGGATCTCTAGTCAGTTCAGTAAAAGCAGAACGCAGGAGCTGAACCTCCAACTTTTTCTGTTTGGGTTTGGTAATATTATAGCTGACTTGTAGCCTATATTCTTGTATAGGCTATATTAGAAGGCACTTAAGATCTGAAGTAAGTAGACCTTACAGCAAGTGATCTTGGATATAGTTTTCATAACAGATTAGAGGGTTATGTTCATCACAGGTCTTTAAGATGCCCATGATTGTTTTCTTGCTTTTTAAAAGGACAAAGCTGTAGTCTCTGTACTTGTCATATGTTGTAGAATAACATGCTTGAAAGATATTTTTATTTTTATTATGATAACTGAATATATGTAGCTGTGTGTTTATAATTTGAAAATTAAAAAGTATGTTGAACATAGATGTATGCTAGTAAACATTTTAATTACAGTTTTAGTTTTAAGGCAAGAATTTGTTAGTAAATTTGTTAATTTTTTTTTTACACCTCAGGAAACATACACACAATGTTTTAGAATACAAACAAACTATTCAACAGAACTCTTGCTGAGTTTTGTTTCCAGTACCTTTAATTCCTGTGTTGAAGGTTTTGCCTTTAGCTGGAGATTTAGGCAGCCTTAAATCGGGGTTAATCCAGTAATTAACTGACTTGGTGATTTTGTGTATTCTTTGTATGGGTTACTAGTTAAGCAGAGAACTGCTGTATTATATTGATGATTATGCGCAGGTTACCAGCGTGCGTGTATAGAGGCTTTTAATGTCACTGTACTGTTTTGGTGGTTTTGCATGGTTTTTTTTTTCCTCGTGACCAAAAGGTGGCACGTTGCCTCTGCTGGAAGACTTTCATGACACTGCAAGACTGCAGATCTTATAAACAAACTAAATATTATATTTAGGTAAAGGGCTATCATAGTACTTCAGTTAAATGTCATGTCGTTTCTTCCAAACCTTTTCCCTGGAGAAATCAAGAGCTCTGCGTCTATAGAGGAACTTAACCTTTGCTTGTTTTGCTTTCTAAACAGGGGTGGTATGGAATACTATGTAGAAGTATTTATTTTAAATATATTTATGAAGTATTTTGGGAAAATAAGTGTTCTTCAAATCTCACACTTCTCACAAACATGAGAAGCTTGCTTTATAGCAAGGAAAAGACTGCTGCAGTGCAGTTGGAGGGGTGGGGTTGTGTGTGTGTGTGTGCTGTAACAGAAATAGAACTTTGTATACAAATTTATTTGTACGTGGCTGCAGAATAGTTATACGGCCAAGAGGATTAGAGTTTATGAAGAACTATTTAAATATTAATTTCTAAATTTTTTTTGCAAAGGGTACTGCCCGCAGAAAGAAGAAGGTTGTCCACAGAACAGCTACAGCAGATGACAAGAAACTTCAGTTTTCGTTGAAGAAACTGGGTGTCAACAATATTTCTGGAATTGAGGAGGTAATTGCTTCAAAGGGAAAAATGCTTTTCTATACAGAAATATAAAATGTATCAAACTTAATTTCCTGGCAAGTAACATCTTAAACTTGTCTGTAAATTATCAATAGGTCTTTTTTGAGCTTTAGGAACTTCAGCTAGTTTCCTGTTAACTTGAAAAATCATGCTAAACTGCTTGAAATACTGGATATTTTTTTATTTCAGGTAAATATGTTTACCAACCAGGGAACAGTCATTCACTTCAATAACCCTAAAGTTCAGGCATCTCTGGCTGCTAACACTTTCACCATCACCGGCCATGCTGAGACAAAGCAGCTGACAGAAATGCTTCCTAGCATCTTAAATCAGCTTGGAGCTGACAGTTTGACCAGCCTGAGGAGATTGGCAGAAGCCCTACCCAAGCAATGTAAGTTGAAACTTGAATGCATTTCATGCTGGCAGCTGATGTGGCTTATTTGTATAGCTGCAGTGAAATTCAGTGCACTCTTGCTATCTGCAAGCATATTATAAAATGCTTATAAAGAAATGGAACTCTTAGATCTTATTTATAGCTCAAATCCAACAATGAATATAACGGAATAAAGCAGAGGTACCTGTCTCTCAGCAGATCTTGCAGCTGTACCTGACAAACATAGTGGTCTTCTACAATGGGGTTACAGCAAAAGGAAGAGCGACTGACGTCATCTACCTGGATTTGTGCAAATCATTTGACACTGTCCCGCACAACATCCTTGTCTCTAAATTGGAGAGGCACTCAGTAGATAAAAAATTGGCTGGAATGTTGCACTGAAAGAGTTGCAGTCAACGTCTCAATGTCTGGGTGGAGACTAGTGACAAGTGGCAACTCTCAGAGGTCTGTATTGGGACCAGTATTATTTAACATCTGTTCTGGCTTCGGCTGGGACAGAATTAAATTTCTTCACAGTAGCTAGTATAAGGCTATGTTTTGGATTTGTGCTGAAAACAGTGTTTATAAAAACACAGGGATGTTTCAGTTACTGCTGAGCAGTGCTTACACGGAGTCAAGGCCTTTTCTGCTTTGCATGCTGTGAACGTTTTAAACCAACTCAAGTGATCTTCCTTGGTCATGTATGTTAAATATACACTACTAATTATGAGAAATTCTCACTGGGAACATTTCCTAACAGTCATCACCTCAAACTCACAAGATTTCCAAAATCCAACCTTTAATTACTCAAGCTGCTTGCTAGAGCTTTGTATTTGGTTTGCATGGCAAGGTTTTGGTAGATGGTGTGCTACAAGGGTGGCTACTATGAGAAGATGCTAGAAGTTTCCCCCATGTTCAATATATAGCCAATGCCAGACAGCTCCAAGAGGGACTCACTGTTGGCTAAGGCTGAGTGCATCAGCAACAGTGACAGCACCTCTCTGATAGAATAGTGTAGAGAACAGTACTGGCGTGATCATTAAGCTAGGTACACTACCTTCCTATTCCATTCTTAAGAACGTTTGGGAAAAGTAGAGGAGGGACATACATATGTGGTGTATGTGCTGCTGTTACAGGGTGAGAACTGAGAGTGAAACACAGGCTCGTTGACAATGAACATTCTTTTTGTCTTGCATGTAGGGTCTTCCCATTTACTCTGTAGTTACATTTTTAGTTTCTGTGCTTTGCTGCCAGCAAAGATAGCCTCTATTTCATAGAATCATAGAATGGTTTGG